CTGGAGCCTCCAGGAGCCACAGTTCGACAGGTCTGGCCTCGGCAGAGAGCAGCACAAGTGCCCAGCTGCCATGCCTGCTCCGTGGGCCCCGTCTCCTCTGCAGAGGGCAGGCCTGGAGCTGCTCTCAGCAGCCGCCCCCTCCCCCTCGCTGAGGTTGTTCCTGCGCCCTCCTGGGGGTGGGACCTGGGGATGCCAGGCCCCGAGGTCCCAGGTGACCCACACGGCACACATGCTCACACGCACTGCACACCACCACCATGCGTGCAGGACGCCCCCATGCACTCATGTGCACGCACACACGGCACCCCAAGCGTGCCCCCTCCAGGCAGGACAACTCGCCTGCGCCCTCTAGTGATATTGTTGAGGCACTGCCACTTCCACTTTTTTACCTTTTTTGGTTTTTTGAGACAGGGTTGAACCTGGAGTGTGCAGCCCAGGCTGGCCTTAGATTCTCAAACCTCCTGCCTCAGCCTCTCCAGTGCTGGGATTATAGGTGTGCACCACAATGCCTAGCAGCTTTCACTTTCCTTTTTTGGTTGTTTTTGTTTTTTGAGACAGGTTCTTGATATGTAGTTCAGGGTGGAGTGGAACTCAGTATGCAGCCCAGGCTGGCCTCCTACTTGCAGTGATCTTCCTGACTCAGCCTCCTGAGTGCTGGGATTACAGCTGGGCACCACCGCACCTTCACTTTCTTGAAGCATTTCCAGCTTGGTGGAGGTCTCTGAGGTCTGAGGTCTTTGGCCCTGGGTGCCACTGGGGTGGCTGCTCACGCCAGGCCCTGGGCCAGAGCGGGCATCTCAGCCTCGCTGACTCCCTCGGGGTCCTGGGCCAGCTGAAGCCTGAGCTGGCAGACCGGGAGGGGACCCCGCACAGCTGGTATCACCGAGCCTGGGGGGTTGGGGTGTGGAGGTGGTGGCAGTGGCCCTGGAGATCGCCCTGCAGTGTGACCCCGGGCCAGCGAGGTCCTCTGGGTCGGGCAGGCACCCAGGAGCCCTGTGCAAATTCCCTTTCGCCGGAAATGGTCAGAGCTGCTTTTGTCTCTGGTCCCTGAGGGCCCCTGGGCCTGGTCTCCACCAGGCTGGGACCCCGGGACCTCCTGGCCACCCCCACAGGCGGAAGTGGCCTGCAGCACACAGTAGGTGCTCAGCGAATGCCCATGGGGGTGAGCCACGGTGCCGTGGGAGTTGTGTGCTACAGAAGTGGAGGCCAAGATGGGGTTTGGGGCGCAAGGTAGGCTTTGGGGAGCAGTACCTGGGCTTGGGGGGCTGGGGAGAGCTTGGGGCCCACGAGCTTGGCCGGGGCATCGGCAGAGCTTGGGGTGGGTGCCCCTTGAAGAGCTGCACACGGCACCCCTTAGCCTCTCCCAGGAGGTGTGAACCCCAAAGGAGCCCCCCAGAGAGGCTGAGCTGCAGGGGCTTGGGCAGCTCCTCCACGTCCACATGGACGCCGAATCCTGGGACGGGACCCAGCAGGGTGCCCAGCCAGCCAACTGGACCCCAGAGCGCCCCTCCTCAGCGAGGCGGTTCCAAGTCTGGGGCCTCAGCACAGCCACGGGCTGGAAGGGACTCGGCCGGTGGTCCCCTTGCCACTTTCTGTCTTTGCCCTGAGTTCCAGGGTGGGGGTGGCCACTGACTGGCTCTTCCCTGGCTGGGAGCCGCCCCCGGGGAGACTGCTTATGCCGGCTCCCAGGCCCCTCGGACTATTTTGCCAACATGCTCAGTGTGCCAAGTGGAGGCAGCCAGGGTGGCCTTCCTGGAGGAGGAGGTCCTGGGCTCTGAAGAATCTGTTGGTTTTGTACCCGGAGCAGGAGCAAGGTCGAGCGGCAGGGCGAGGGCGGGACTGCGCTGTGACTGGGGAGCGGGGGTGCAGCTTCCCGACTTGACCAGCAGGCGGCCTCAAGAAGCTGCGGAGGCGGAGCGCGCCTGGGGGGAGGCTGAGCTAAGAGCCCCGCAAGCTCAGGACCGGCCTGGACGAGCTGGTGGCTTGGCAAAGCCCTGTCCCAACATAAAAAGTAAAATTTAAAAAAAAAAAGAGTTTGGGTGTAGCTCAGTACTAAGGCCGTGGATTCAAACCCCAGCACTGAAAAATAAAAAGATGCCGCTTCAGACTCGGTCAATCACCGACAGACCACGAGGGGAGGAGGAGGAGAAGGTGCCGCTCCCCGCATTCACCTGCACGCTGAAGGCTGACACTGGGACACAGGGGCCTGGGTCCCACGGGTGGGGACGCCCTGTGGGGATGCAGCTGAACCCCTCTACCTGCCGCTGCAGTGTGCTGGCCCCTGGCAGCCCCGAGACGCCCCTCGTCCTGACCTGGGCTGCAGAGGGGACCCGGCTTGGGCAGGGACTTCGTGGGTGTGACAAAGGGTCTCAGGTGAGGCCACTGTAGGTTAGGGTGGCCCTACTAAGGTGACACGGGGAGAGATGATGCGGGAGAGGGAGGCGGGCTGGGCCTGAAGCAGCTTCCAGCCGAGGATGTCTGGAGCGGCCAGCAGTGGAAGAGCCACCGGGACCCCTCCACCACCGCCAGCATCCGGAGGGCACTGGGCCATACCTGGCTTCTCCACGCTTGGCCTCGGAACTGGGAGGTGAGGTGCTTTCCTAGGCCACACCAGGGTGGCTGTGCTGTGCACAGGGGACGAATGCAGCCTCATCCCGGGGCAGCCAGGGATGCTGCAGCCAGCGGGGGTGGCCTCAGAGCCGCCCTCACGGCCTCCATGTACTCACATCCGGCCCAGGCCGGAGCCTCCGCCTGTGCAGCCATGTGGTGTCCAAGGGAGGGGGTGGGGCCACGCTGTCCAGCCCAGGGAGACCGGGAGGTGTGGGCCACACAGAGACCCAGCCCCTGCCGGAAGAAGTTGCTGTCCAGGTGCCTGTGTGCTCAGCCTGGCGGTGTGTCCAACTTCCTCCTCATAGGAGTGGTGTGGCCCTGTCACGGCCCTCTTCACGGGGCCTCTGCTGTCAGTGGTGCTCTCGCTCTTTATCCTCAGCCAGCTCCTCCGGACACTCGGCCCTTCGTCACAGTCCGAGACCCGCACTGAGAGTGCATTCGTGGCCCCATCCTGTCCCAGCACTTTGACTCCGCCCCTAGCTGGGACTGGGGAGGTGTGGAGAGGACACTGCCACAGACGGGGGCTGCTGGGAATGAGCTCAGGCTTTGGGACAACGCGCACATGTTCCTGGGTCCAGCCTGGCCAGGCCAGCAGAGCCTCTGCTAACTCTCAACTCAAGATCCATAATGGAGTCGTTTCAGGACCCCAGTGAGGCCGGTTTGTCTCGTGGTGTCACTGAGGTTGTAGCTGACAGGGCAGCTGGCTTGTGGCCTGCCAGGCCCCTGGGCGCTCTGTGATTTCAGGTTCTTATGTGGGTCCCACTTCGTCCTCAAAGCCTTCACCCTTTCCACGAGGGTCGAAGTCGCAGAACCTTCCCCGCCCTTCCAGTTTTCCTACCGGGCTTCCCACAGGTGTGGGTGGCACCACCATAGCTACAAAGCCCTGTTGACAGCGGCCCACTCTGTTGCCGGCCCAGGCCTTGCTCTCCAAGGGAGCCCTGTACATTCAGCAGCTCCTCGGCCACCTCCACCAGGCTGTGCCTGCACGTCCAGGGGCCCTGTCTCCACCAGCCAGGTCACTCCCCTCCACTGCTCCCACGCTGGGAATGTGCCGCAGCCCCACGCTCCCTGGTGGGGGGTTCCCCAGCGCCCGCTTGCTGCAGGCCCCTCCTCCCTCCCCGCTCCTCCTCCCCAGTCAGAGGCACCCCACCCCTGCTCACCCCAGGTCTCTCCTTGGGGTGCCAAGAGGAAAGGCTGGGGGTGAATGTGTGGCCTCTGGTTGGCCTTTGCTCAGAAAGGTTTCCGAGTGGATGAAATGAACGTGTGCAGACAGTCAGGGCCAGTTCTGACCCAAACAGAACCATTCATTTTAGTTAGTTGTTAAAGAAAAACATGATCCAATAAAGCATGTGAGGAAGACTTTATTCAGGATAAATGACACAAGTACGGGGCTGCAGCAAAGGGGTCTGTGTTGGGAAGAGAGACGGGGGTCACTCTGAACACAGCAGGGCAGGTGGGGATTCATAGCCATCTATGAGGGTTGGTCTGGGGTAAGCGTGGTGGGCGGGGCGACACCGCCTGCAGGTGTTCTGGAGCCGGCAGGAGTCTGGACATCACCTGAGGGTGGTGGAGACTCAGAGCCTTAGAGGTGCTTGCATACGGGCCAAACAGCGTCCTCTGCACACCTGGGCAAGTCCCACGCCACAGAGGAGTCCACTGAGCAAGCCCCTCCCTTCAGGGAGCCGCAGGCTGGGCCTCCCGCAGACCCCGGCTCCCCAGGCCGCTGTGCAGGTGCACCCAGGCTGCCCATGAGAGTCACGGTTCTAACAAGGTCCCGGGGGAGGGTGGTCTGCGGCCTCATTTGGAAAATCTCTACTCGAAGGCCGTACAGTCCAAAAGAGACAAAATATGGGCCACATATACAATTAAGATTTCCTAGTGGCCATGTCCTAAAAAGGCAAGAAGAAACAGGTGGAACTGCTCCTTCTTTGCGGTGCTGGGGATCGAACCCAGGTCCTTACGCGTGCTGGCAAGCGTTCTACCGCTGAACTGTCTCCAACGAAGATGAATTTTAGGAATGTATTCTACTTAATTCCAAAATATGTATTCAATATACACATGGAATCAATATAAACCATGGCTCGCTATTTCACATCCTATCTTCGCTCACGCTGACAGCCAGGTGTGCCTGGCCTGGAGAGCACGTCAGTTCGCCGGTTCGCCCAGCCGGAGCTCCTCCTCCAGGTTGCCTGGCGCCTCAGAAGGCAAGGGAGGCCACAGAACTACAACCCCCAGCACGCATCTGGCGTGACCATGACGCACTTCCGGCGCGCGGTGGGAGTGGGGTGCCTGCCGCAGAACTACAATTCTCCGCCTGCCACTGGAGCGTCCTCACGCACTTCCGGTGCGGCGGAGACAGCGCGCCCCCGGCGGTTGTACTGCAGCAGCGAAGCGATCGATCTCTGGGGCGGCCGCGAGTTACTGACGGCCGTGCAGGGGGGAGCCGGGGCGGGGCGGCCCAGCGAAGGAGCGAGCGGCGTGGCCCGGCCCCACCCCCGCCTGCTTTCCCGCCCTCTCTCCCGCCTGCCCTGGTGACCTTCACGGGCCGGGGCCGCGGCGCTGGCCCGGGTGGTGGCGAGATGTTCGTGCAGGAGGAGAAGATCTTTGCAGGTCAGGTGCTGCGGCTGCACATCTGCGCGGCCGACGGCGCCGAGTGGCTGGAGGAGGCGACCGAGGACACGTCGGTGGGGAAGCTCAAGGAGCGCTGCCTCAAGCATGTAAGGCCCGGCCCCTCGTCGGAGCCCCGCCTGGACTTGCACCCAGCGGCCAGCCCGGGGCTCTCAGGTCCTGTGCGCCTCCCTTCTCGGTACTTGAGAAGTACCCCGGGGGTCGGCCACTGCCAGCCACCAGGCCATCTCTCCTTGGGCCACCCTCTACTTTCTGCATTTGGCCGGGAGGCGGGGCGGAGGGGAGACGACGCCGGGAAAGGTAGAGTCCTGGCTGAGATTTGTGCCTGCTGCAGTTGCGGTGAGGTTTGGGTTCTCACCGGGTCCCCCAGGAGCTGAGCGTTAGTGCAGGTCCCTTCCTTAAGAGGCGTCTTCCCTTCTCCGCCGAGCAGCTGCTTGGATCTGTTTCCTGGGGCTGCCTATGAGCCTAGGCTTGGCCCTGAGCTCGAGTCACTTAAAATAGCGCTCTGCTTGTCTGTGGGGGTGAAGTCGATTTAGCCAAAGGTACGGACCGGGTCTTCTCCCAGACAGAAGGATCGCTCCGTAGGTCGAGATGCTCCTTAGCTCCTAGGTTGTCAATGTTCGGAGCTAGTTCTTGAGACTTTGCCTCTAAACCCACCTCAGTAAGGTCAGGTGAGGCTCTGTCCCTGAGGCCTAGTGGCCCAGGGAAGCGCTAGACTTGACTCGTCTAGGGTGTCCTGTCAAGATTTGGGTTAAAGGTGGCCACAGCTTTCTAGTGGGGCTGTGGGAGCAGTCGAGTGTCTGTACACTTGACAGGTTGTTCTCTAAGATAAGGCTAGGGGTGAACTTCCAGTTATGATTGCGGTCGCTGCCCGAGAGAACTTTGTCATCGCTCTCGGGAGTGGTTGGGTGGACTCCATCTGTAACTGTCAGAGGCGGTGTGAGGAGACCCACCCCGGTATAAGCCCCGCGTGGAGCACACTGTACTGAATGTGGTGGGCATTGGGGGTCTTAGCCTCAGTGCTCCACCCCAGGGAGGCTCACATGCTCAGGGGCAGGTGTGTTGGCTGCTTTCTTGTATTTTAGGGGTTTTTTTTGTTTTTTTTTGGTTTTGAGATAGGGCCTCACTATGCAGTTCAGGCTGGCCTTGAACTCTGGGTGATCCTCCTGCCTCAGCCTCCCCAGTGCTGGGATTACAGGTGTGCACCATCCCACTGGGGCCGGCCCCTTGTGTTTTTAATAACCTAGCCCATGTGGTTCCACTGATTAGAAGCACCACCCTCTGCCATGGGCTCCTCAGTGGCTTGGTTTGAATGCACTAGCCCAGAACTTGGCCCAGAGTGGCCATCAAAACAAATGTGAGAATTCACAGGAGGAGTAAAATATATTGTCAACTCAAATCGCAGGGACATGGAATGTCCACTGTCTTGGCGTGGCATTGAGTTTAACGCATTCACTCTGCGGACTCACGTCAGAGTCATATAGCAGTGTTTTAGGAAGGGGACTAGGAAATGACCCATGGATGCTTGCTGGTAAGTTTCAGGAACACTTGGGGTTAATTAGGCAGCCAGTTTCAATATGATGCTAATTATCTGTGATATTTATTGTCCTGGCAAGTATTGAGATTGTATCAGTTGAGATTCTTTTGGTCATTATCCTCCTGTAAATGGGGACTTTATCCCACCCTGCAGTCTCCTCAGGTGCAGGGGATCTGAGCACAGGTGGGGGATGAGAGGGGACAGAAGCCTAAAGGCAGAGTGCACAGCCGTGCCCTGTATGGGCATCCCTTCTCCTGGTCTGCCCCTCAGTGCTGTGCCACACATGCACGCTGCCTGCTGCCCTGCTTTCCACCTGGCAGTGTGCTGTGAGAAGCTGCCGTCTGCCAGTTCCCTGCTCCTGCACAGGAATTTCATGCCCAACAGCTGACATAGATTATGGGCTGGAGAGCTGAGCCATCAGAGAATGCCCGTGTTTGTGTCCCATCCGTGCTGGTGTCAGAAAACCCTGGCTAGGAAGGAACAGGCTCCGGTTGTGCACTGGAATGTTGCCCTGGGAACCGGGGCTGTGTGCAGGTGGTGGGGTTGAGGCGCGTGTGTCCTAGCCTGCTGTCCTGTCCCCAGTGTCCCTGTGCACTCCACACCAGTGTTGTCCTGGTGTTTTTCTTCCCTCTTTTCCCACTGCCCCTGCACCTGCTGTTGCTGGGGCCCACTGCCACAGTAAAGGGGTTATTGCTGCAGCTGGAAGGAAATGGAGTGCTGTTTTGCCTGCACTTCTTTGTTCTGTCCAAGGTGGGCTCACCGTGGCGGTCTCTAGCGTCTACCGCTCAGGCCTGGGAGGGGCGCAGCGGCCCTTCAGCTCGCAGGGCATTCAGGATGTCAAGAGGACGCTGCCTGAGATGTAAATGCCAGAATGGAGCAGCATCCTTGCTAGTGTGGTTGAGATGTCCCAGGCCCCTGAAGCCTCGGGCCCTGCCCACTCCGTGTAACAGTGCACCGGGTCTGAGCAGAAGCTAAGGCCCGGCTCCTGTGGGAGGACATGGGACAGGGTGGGCGCGGAGGTGATTTCACCAGGGCGCATGCAGAGATGCAGAGAGGACCGGAGGGGTCGTGCATGGGGGGTGACTCGCACCTCCGTCTTCTCCCTGCGGTGCTGTTGTCATGGTGATGGATGGATGGATGAGGATTGGAAACCAGAATGAGGATTATTTTGGAAAATTGTGTTTCCTGGACTGTATTCTGTTTTGCTTTTTTTTGTTGTTTTTTGAGACAGGGTCTCGCTATGTAGTTCATGCTGGCCTCAACTCATGGCAGTCCTCCTGCCTCAGCCTCCTGAGTGCTGGGATTACAGGCGCGTGCCGCCACGCCCAGCTTCTTGACTATTCCGAACTTGACATGGCAACTAGAATTGTCTGAATTTCCAGACTGGCAAAGCCCGTAATTCTGGAGCAGTGCTGTGGCCAAGCTCCAGGGAAGCTGAGGGAGCCCTGCTCTGGCTGTGCTAACAGCACAGCTGGCTGCTAGCTGAGGTCCAGCCCTTCCCCTCGGCCTTGCCATTCGGGGAATGTTTGCTGACCCTGGAAGCCTTCATGACTTTTCCTCAAATGGAAAATCCTAGTTACTGGTGCAGTGCCAGTGTTGAGAGTGCATACCCGCCTCCCTTTCCCTTTTCCAGTTAGCAGTGTGCGCTGGGTATTTCTGAGCCTCGGTGTGGCAGAGGGAGCTGGTGAGCAAACTTCTGCTGGGGCCTGTGCACTCTCTCCCACCCGAGGCCTGGGCCTGGCAGGGCTGGAGTCCAGCCGGGCCTCTGTCCAGGGGACGCGCAGTGTGGGGCTGGGTGGGCAGTGGCGAGCCTGGGCTGCTGTCAGGTGGTGTGCTTGGCGCTCAGGCCGGGCCCAGAGCCACATGGGACCCCTGACGCTGCCGCCCTGCGACAAGTGTGCGTTCTGGCAGCCGTGTGTATGGCAGAGAGGAGGCTGCTGATGTGGTGAGCAGGGTCTGCCAGCAGTGAGCGAAGGGGCTAAGGGACCGGGCAGGACTGCAAGGGAGCCTGGTGTCGTGCTCGTAGGGTGGCGTCCTGGGTCCCCGTGAGGGCGGGCTGCTGCCCCCTCCTCACCGCTGCACCCGACGGTCTCCATCTCCGTCGGGGGCCGAGGACCTCAGAGCCCCCCACGCCTGCATCGCTGGGCTCCAGGCCTCTGGTGACTCACGCACACCTCTACCCATCTTTGTGTGCAGTGTCCCTCAGTGAGCCGAGGCCGAGGTGTTCGGTGGGCAGGGCCTGGTTCCTGGACTCTGGGAGCCAGTGTTCTTTCTCATGCCTATAATCTTAGCTCTTTGGGAGGCAGAGGCAGGAGGGTCTCACGTTGGAGCCCAGCCTGGTAACTTAGCAATGCCTTCTCTCAAGATTAAAATAAAATAAAATAAAATAAAGAGCTGGCCTATAACTCAATGTGGAGGCCCTGGGTTCAGTCTCTAATACTGAAGAAAAGACATAAAAAGGCCTTTGCAGATCTTTCCAGACCAGAAAAGCATTTTGGGTTGTCACTGCTTAGAGTGTTGTGTGTCTGAGTTCTGAGCTCCCCTGGGAGTGTAGAGTGGGTGGTGAAGTTGAAGGCCAGGGACCATGCCTTGTGGTATTTCTTTCTGTCTTTAACAGGGTTCTTTGATTTCAGCTCTGCTTTAATGTCTCAGCTAGGGAGAAAACCTCATAAATTCCCACGTGGGAATTCCCAGATGTCAGGCCCTATAATACTATGGGTATTATGACTTTTTTTTTTGGTACTGGGGGTTGAACTCAGGACCTTGGGCTTGCGAGGCAGGCAGTGATCCACTGAGCTAAATCCCTGGCTCCATATTATGATTATTTTCTGTTATATATTGTTTGATTTTATCCCCAGTGTGCTCACGGGAGCCTAGAAGACCCCAAAAACGTCACCCACCACAAGCTCATCCACGCTGCTTCCGAGAGGGTGCTCAGTGACACCAGGACAATATTGGAGGAGAACGTGCAGGACCGAGGTGAGGAGCCTCAGAGGAGCTGGGCCGGGACCAGGTGCTGGGCGGGGAGGAGCCGGGGCTGGCCAGAGGCCTTGCGGTGCACATCCAGTGTCATGTCCCAAGTTGGCTCTGAGCGAGAAAACTGGATTGACTCTAGTTTTATTTTTCTTTTATTAAAAAAGTGTGTGTAATGAAGTATTTGTGAAAAACCGCAGAGATCAAAACTGAGTGAGCAGCAGGCATCCGAGAAGCTGAACATGAGCTTTATTTTTAATTCTGTCTCAAAGCGAACCTGGACTCTAGAGCTTTGCAGGTTTTGTTTTTGGGTTGGAAATGAAGGCTGTGGCAGTTGTTTGAGGCCTCGTAGTAAGATGTGCCTCTACACGTGCCCGCTTCGGGTCTCCAAGCCGAGTAACCACCGACTGCTATGGGCGTCCTGGAGGCGAAGGCCCTGGGGTGCCACTCACAGCCTCCACTGCCGTGGCCTTCAGGCCCGGCTGGCGAGGGGGAGGTAACCAGCAGCGCGTGGGGGCCAGCCACGCCTCAGGGTCTTGGCTCTGCAGCCTACACACTTTCACAGCAGCCACGAGAACGAGGCATTTGGCCACCAGGACTCTGCCAGGCTGCAGCCGCGACCCCACAGCCTTGTCCTCCTGCCCAGGAGCCCGTAGGTCAGCTGGGGCCACGCAGGCATTGCGGAAACTGAGGGGGCTTCCGGGTTAGGAGGGAGCCGGGAGGATCCCTCAGGAAGGGTGCCTGGCACCCTGCCTGCCGCTCGGGGCTGTGACTGTGCTGCACTTAGCAGGCTGATGTGCTCTTCCCCAGATGTCCTCCTGTTGGTAAGGAAGCGAGCCCCGGCTCCCCTGCCCAGGATGGCTGAAGTCTCTGCAGAGGAGAAGGTGAGTTTCCGCCGCCCCGAGAGCTCTCAGTGGGAGTCTCCTGGTCACTCACTGGCCCACCTGTGCTGGGTCACAGTATCTGTGGCGGGGGCCGCTCTCTGGCTGGCTGAGCTGCTGAACCAACTTTCCGTATGTCTCCCATTGGGGCCCAGCTCTGAAAAAGCTCAGGGCTGCGCTGCCGTCTGGCTTAACCTCCGCATTCTGCTGTCCTTTCTGTCCTTGAGCAGCGGAGGGTCCCTAGGAGCATTGCTGAGGGAGCTCCGCCCAGGGAGGGCAACACGCGGGCTGTGCTCTGCCGTCTGGAGGCCACCTGTGCATGTCTCGTCTGCTTCCTGCTGGACAGTTGGGTGTCCTGGAGTCCAGGGGTTGATTTATGGTCTGCATCTTCCCGAAAGCTCACGGCCTCGGGGAAACTGCGAGGTGTGTCCCCAAAGCTGTGTGTACCTTTTTCTGTTCCTACACCACAGCAGGGGGCCTGTGCCCTGGTGCAAAGCAGCTGCCTCGCCTCACGGTTCATCCCTCATCCTGAGGTGCTGGTGTTTCTTCCAGGGAGTGGGCTCACCCAGAGGGAACAGCTCTTGGGGCTGGGCCAGGGCCTGAGGGCGGCGAGCTATTCTGGGGCTCCCTCTGGGCTGGATATTTAAGGAGCACCCTGGGCTGCGCCACCTTATCTCCAAACACCTGGCCACAGCGTGGGTGTGGGCGGGTGGGCGGGAGCCAGGCCTGCTTCTGAGGACTGCTGTGGGCAGGGTTTCTGGGCACAGCCCGAAGCCTGCTGACGGCAGCGTGCAGGACCAGCAGAGCCGCCCGCCTGCCCTTCCTCCTTCCGCACCTGCTTGCAGAGTCGACCCTGGAAGCTGTTCACTCATGGTTCTATGATTAACTTTTCTAAGTCAAAAGAACACCTGTATTCAAAAAGGCAAATCTTTTTCATAGAAAGGTACAAATTCCCAATGATGAATGTTCTCATTCTATACCTAACATGTACCAATAAGCTTAATAAAAAAAGGAATTACAGCTCACTAATGATAAAAAAGGCAAATCTTGCAAATCCTTTAGTAAAATCAGTAGTTTTCTCTCAGAGCTGAGTCAGACTGTGTGAGGCACCTGTAGCCGCTCTTCTGATTCTGCAGGGATGTGCGTGGGTCGCTGTTTCCTCAGTTACTGTCAGCTTCCTAGGCCAAGGCGCCATACCCCCTCCTCCCAGAGATGAGCTCAGTGGGCCTGCTGTTGTTATTTGAGCACTGCTTTCTGCCACAAGAAAAGCACGTTAAGATTGTTTAGGGAAGCCAGCCGGCCCTGGCCTCGAACTTGCGAGGCTGAGGCAGGAGAGTCACAAGTCCTGCTGAGGTTACACAGCAAGACCTTGTTTTAAAAAGACACACACACACACACACACACTCTCTCTCTCTCTCTCTCTCTCTCTCTCTCTCTCTCTCTCTCTCTCTCTCTCTCTTCATGGTATTAGGAACTGAGCCCAGGGCCCTGGCTGAGCTGCATTCCCAGGTCTTCCTTTTCATTTTGAGGCAGCTAGGTCGGTGAGTTACCCAGACTGGTCTTGAACTTGTGACCCTTCCACCCCGTGCTGGGATTGCAGCCACCGGGCCAGGCTAGGATGATCTTTTTGTACAGCTTTCTTTTTCTTGGGGTAAGTAATCGCCTCACTGACTTTGTCGACCTTAGCAGAGGTGAGAAACTCTGGCACCGGGTAAGAGCGTCGGGCTGCCCGCTGGCGCCGTCCCTCCGTGCTGGTCCAGCCCCACACGGCCAGGTCTTCCCTCTCCTTTTCCTGTGTCAGGGCTGTGTGTAGCTTTCCCTTTCCGCCTGGCAGAGCGTCACAGACCTGTCTCCATAGGGTAGTGCTGGTCTCGTCATTCACCTACGAGCCGTTTCTTGCCCGGGGTCTCGAGCATTGAAATCCAGGCCCTGGGGCCGTGTTCTTGGCTGGAGGCTCTGGGGAGAGGCTGCTTCCAGGCTCTCCAGGCAGCTGGCAGCGCCATCTCTTGCTGGCGCTAGCGGGGTGGGGGAAACTGTACCTCTGGAGGTGCTCGAGCTCCTTGGCCCAAGGCCCCTCTGTCCTCTCTGCCAGTGGCGGAGTTTCCCAGAGATGGGCCCCGCCAATGGAGCCACATCTTTGTGGGGCTCTGACTAGGTCAGGGCCACCACGGGTCAGGGGCTTCTCCAGGAGCTGGCTGTGGCCTGTGGCCGACCCCAGCTGCAGGGTGGAAGGTGCCTGCCGCCTTTAAGTCCCGCTGCTGTGTCCTCGAGGGGCAACCTGCCTTGTGCCTCAGTTTGGTGGAAGCAACTTCCTCCGGCGTCTGGGAAGGGCAGTCGGGCAGTGTCAGGCAGCGAGGGCACTGCTCTTGGCCCACCCTGCTCCGGCGGGACCTTTGGGTCCGTCCTGGGCTCTGGCGCGTGTCCTGTCCTCTGTGCTGGCCGTGTTGATGCGGGGGATGCGGATGTTGGAGTTCAGGAAGTTCCGCTCTGGATCATCTTTGACAGCTTCCCCTTCCGACTTCCTCTTTCTCTGAGCTTAGGGCTTGGCAGGTGAGCCTGCTTTCTGCCACTGTCCTCACCCTCTGTCCGCTCTGTGGCTGCTGCGCCCCCGAGAGTGGGTTGGGGTGCTCCCCCTTCCCCAGCTCGTCCCTTGCCACTGCCTTTCTCTTTCCTGTCCACTCCTGGCTTTTGTCTCCCTTGATCTGCCCTGCACACCTGGCTGTGTTGCCTCTTGGTGCCTGTGCTGTTCGTGGCTGACCCCATGGCTGGGTCTCCCGCTGGTGCGGGAAGCAGCCTCTGCCCGCTTCCTGGGCCACAGGCCCTGGCTCTCGGCTCTCAGCTCTCGGCTCTCAGCTCTCAGTGAGGGATTTGGTTTCTCTGAGGAGCTGCATGAGCCCAGCTGCCCTTAGAGCTCAGCCCACTCTGTGGCCTCCGGTCCCGAGGAGTATCTGGGAGGCTGGCGGCCCCGTGGGGTTGTGGCCTTAGCCCACGGCTCTGTCCACCCTCTGTGCACCTTTGTCCTCCTGAGTGCTGGTGCCTCCCCTCCTGGTTTTGTGTCTTCTGCGTGCTCTCGGGCCATTCCGCTGCCCTCATCCCTGTGTTCTGGCTCAGGAGGTGTGCGGAGCGTGAGGACGGGCCTGCATTTCGGCCTCCGGGCTTCTCCGCCATCGGTGGGGCCTCTGTGGTCTTTTTTGGTCCTGCTTCTCCCTGTCTTCCCCGCCGGCTCACGGTGGGCGGAGTGGGGCCTAAGTGCCCCCAAGCACAGAGCTTTGCAGGGTCACCGCCCTCACGTGGAGGAGACAGACGAGGTGCGGCCCACGGGCTCAACCCCTGCCAGAGCTCACTGCTGACTCTCCCGCCCTCTATGCAGAAGAGGCAGGAGCAGAAGGCTCCGGACAAGGAGGCCATACTCCAGGCAACAGCCGGCCTGCCGGCCTGCAGCACAGACCGGGCTGCGGTACAGACCACCACGAGAGACGTGAGTGCTGCACGCATGTGCCGGGTGGGCTGGGTGGGAGCAGGGCTGGGCCTGCTATCTGGAGGCCAACTTAGGAGGATCGCTTGAGGCCTGCCTGGGCAGCATAGCAAGACCACGTCTAAAAAAAAACCCCAACAAAACCAAAACAAAAACTGCTCAGGGAAAGTGGGGAAGGGTGTTCAAGAACTCTAGTACTTTTGCAGCATTTCCGTAAATCTAAAATTATTTCAAAACGAGAAATGCAAAAGACACCTGAAGGCAGGGCTGGAAGCACAGGTACCTGTGGGTGGACCTGAGGGCTTTGCCTGAGCTTGGCCATGCTGTTCAGCAGACATCTGAGCTCTGGGTCATTTGGTCTGGAGAGCCCTCCTGAGTTGGAGACAGAGGGCTTGGGGAGCCGTGTGAACCAGCGCAGGTCTGGCACATGCTGTGGTGTGGTGGGTGGCCCCTTGGGCTTTCCCCGATCCAGTCTGATCCTAGTGCTGCCCGAGCCCTGGGCCGCCTTCAGAGCGCCCTTCTCTTGGGGCACCCCAGGGTCCCATGTGGCCCGGGACAGGTGCCTCCTCTGCAGCCGCCTCTGTGCAGCCCCGCCTGGTGGGTGTCATGGCTGCTCGTGCTCTCCAGGCCGTGCCTGGTGGAAGCTGGGGCAGTGGGGTCTCAGGGTGTCCTGCTAGCTCTTTGTTCGTGCTTCTGCTGCTTTGGGGTGGCCAGCGGGGTCCCCAACTGCACCTCGCTGGCCACCAGCCAGCCAAGGCGGCACCCGGGCTCAGCAGCCATCCCAGCCTGGTGCTGTCACTGCACACAGCCCCTTCCGGTCCTGTGGCGCCTCCTGAGGGTCGGGCTGGCCCTGCCCGGCCTCTTGTCCACTGCCTGGTGCCCAGTAGGAGGGCAGCACCATGTGGACTCCCACGTTTGGCGTGAGCACGGGGGCTGCAGGTCAAGTCGCCTTGTCTGACATTCAGAGAAACAATCTCTCTTTCCCTGCTGCAGTTCCAGACGGAGCTCCGGAAAATCCTGGTATCTCTCATCGAAGTGGCACAGAAGCTGTTAGCCCTGAACCCTGACGCAGTTGAATTGTTTAAGAAGGCGAACGGTATGAGCAGTGCCCAGAGGGGCCCTGTGACCCTGTGTGCTCACACTTTGGCCCTCGAGGCACTGGTGTGGTGTCCGGCGTCCAGCTCCGCCTCCCACTGGGGCCATGGCTGCTGGCTCCCGGCCCTCGTGTTCGGGCGTCCTGAGCTGCAGGGCATGCTGGATGTATGCGGGGCAGGATGGGGCTGTGTGCCGAGGCGGGGGCTCCTCACCCATCTCCCTGTCACCTGCAGCTATGTTGGACGAAGACGAGGACGAGCGGGTGGATGAGGCCGCCCTGCGGCAGCTCACGGAGATGGGCTTTCCGGAGAGCAGGGCCTGCAAGGCCCTCCGGCTGAACCAGTACGTCGGGGACACGGGGCTGGGTCCCGGCCCCTCCAGGCTCTGACTGGGTCGTCTTCAGGATGTGCCGGTCCTTAGGGAGGCACCTCACACACGTGCTCTGGAGGTGGTCACTTTCTTGTCTCAAAGTGAGGTTTTTTTGTTGTTTTGCCTTTTTGTAGAGATAGGGTCTCTCTATTGTCCATACTGGTCTTAAACTCTTGGGCTCAAGTGGTCCTTCTGCCTTGGGCTCCTGAGTAGCTGGGGCTGCAGGGTGCACTGAGAGTTTTAAGCCCTGTCCCTCGCTCAGGCCACACTGGCTGGTCATCCGCTGGATGCTGGTGGTCTTCCCAAGTCGGTGCTGCAGACACTCAGACTTCGGGCCAGCAGGGGTTGAGGGCTGTGCCCTTCCTGCTCTGGGCCTGTGGGGTTCTGAAAGTGTTTTGCAGTGCTGGGGATCGACCCAGGCCTCCCTGTGCACCCTGGGCAGGTGCTGCACCCTGGCTTCCGGGGCCCATGAGTTTGGGGGCCTGTGCCGGGAGCGGGGTCTGTGCTGGGCGAGGAGGGCCCTGCGCCTGAGGTAAAGGCCACATCCACGGAGCACTGAGGGCCGGCCTGGGGTTGCCAGAGCATCCTCCGCGGAGCCCCCAGCGGGGAGGGCCCTGTCCTGCCCTGGGAGAGCTGGGAAGAGTCTGTTGTCCCCTTACAGCATGTCAGTGCCGCAGGCCATGGAGTGGCTGATTGAGCACGCGGAAGACCCGGCCATTGACACGCCTCTTCCAGGACAGTCCGCGCAAGCCGCCGTGGCAGGTGCTTCGGCTGCCACCTCCGAGGCTGTGGTGGCCGCTGCTGAGGGAGACGAGGAGCAGGACGAGCTCACAGAGATCTTCAAGAAGATCCGCAGGAAAAGGGAGTTCCGGGCCGACTCGAGGGTACGTGTGGGCCCGCAGCCCTGTGCGCCTGTGTCCGGAAGCTGGTCTGGGCAGAGCTGCGTTTCTGCATGCAGACTGCATTGTCCTTGCCTGAGTCCAGGGGCTCATTTCCAGAGTCGTCTCCTGAGAGGACGAGGCAGGGCTGTGCTGTGGCCGAGGGGCAGCGCCAGGGGCAGAGGGGCGGGCACAGGCCGGGAGCAGGAGCAGCTGGGGTGCAGGGCGAGTTGCCCAGGTGAGAGGCCCCTGCTCCCCGCTGCCTCTTCTCTGTTCACTCCTGGGCCTGGGTTTGGGGTCTGGTTCCCCTCTGACCTCTGCTCCCGTCAGATCATGGCTGTGCCCGCTCTTGGGTGCCTGCCTCAGGGTGTGGTGTGGGGTTTCTTTGGGCCTCCCCCTGGGGACCCCGTGTGGCCAGGCCACAGAGACCCAGGCAGGGGGTTTCCGAGTGTCTGCAGGGCTGAGCAGGACGCCCAGCCAGGCCGGGTTGAATCTCGCCTGTCCCCAGGGACCTGCAGGATGAGCCACTCAGGTTCTGCCTTCCTGCTTCTTGCGCTGGCCGTGAGCCCATTCCTGCTGACAGGCCTGGGTCTGTCCACTTCCGGGTCTGTCCATTCTGGGCAGCCCCGCCTCCCACCCCTCTGGTCAGGTGGGCTCCATCACGTGACTTCTGGTCCTGTGAGTCCCTCCTTGTGCGTTTGAAAGTCTTGGTGTGCTGCTTTGGGGCAGGTTTCTAGGGCCCAGCAGGGTGTCCTTGCTCTGGTCTCCCGGGAGCCCGCTTCCTGTGGCATTGCTCTTCTGTGTGCTTCCTGGCACCCGCAGGCGGGGCCTGAACTCCCCAGGTCTTGGTCCTGCCCAGTCCTTATGGGTTTGTTGATGGTTGGCTCCTGTGCTTGTCATCACTGTCCCCATTGCCCCTTTTGCTGAGGTGTGGCCTCCTGTGTGGCCCAGGCTGATCTCAAACCTGTAATCCTCCTACCTCAGCCTCTCAAGGAGCTGGGATTACAGTGTGTACCACTGTGCCCTGCGTTCGACTCTTCCTAAGCAACAGGTCTGCACCCTTAGTGTTGGCCCCTTTTCCTGCTGCCATCCTCTCCTCCCCCGTCTGTGCTGGAAGAGTGCAGAACGCCCTCGAGTGCGGGTCTTCAGGGCCTGAGGGCCAGGTGTCAGCCCCTCCTGGCCTGATTTCTGCGCCAGTCCTGAGACCACACAGCTTAGCCACTGTAAGAAAAGAGTGCAGGCCCCCACTGCCACCCGAGAAAGTCCCTCCGCTCCCTGATGTGAGTGGTAGCCGCTGGTGCTGACCGAGGAGGCCACCTTGCCTTGGAATTCCAGGCCCCCAGCTTTGTGTGTGGCCTTTCTTTTGCAGTGCACGGGCCCCTGCCCCCCTTTGCTGTGCACACCTGGGGCCCTGGGCTTAGGCAGCATCCAGCAGCGCAGACTGGATAGGCCCCAAACGGACTGGGTGCTGCTCAGGCTTCCCGCAGAGCTCGGGGCAGGCCCCTGTGGGCGTCCCGCCTGTTCCTGCCCCACCAAAGTCCTGTTGGGCTCTCAGACCTCTGACCGCCTGTGATGCGCATATTGTCCTCGTGTCTCGGTGTCCTGGGGAGAGCTGAGCGGGGCAGGAGAGGGGACTGTGGGGCTCGGGCCTCAGAACATGAGCAGAGCCCCTGGGCAATGGGGAAGCCCTTGCAGTTTCTCTCAAAACTGACCTCTGAACAGTGTGTCATGGAAGGTTAGCATGAAGTGAAGGAGGTATTATCTTGCTAGGAGATTTTTGCCCTGAAAATGTATATTCTGTCCCCTAAAGAGTTGAAGATTAGGTCACCATTCACCCTACGAATTATCAAATGCTTCACTTAGAGCTTAAGTGTTAACTATGAGATGTTAAAGTTAGTTTTAGCGCTTAAGATAAAATCGGAGTAAGAGCACCTTCTAGACAGTGACATTTCTATCCCATTTAAACTGGATTTCTGTACTCGGCCTTCTCGAGCGCTGCCTTGGAGGTCGCAGTGGGCAGCTCGGCCGCTCCTCCCCGCTCAGGTCCCGCTCATGTGGCCCGCAGGGCACTGGGATCTGGGACAGCTTCAGTGAGGCTGGGGTGAAGGACTTGGTGGGAAAGTGCGGCTGATGGCACAGTGGCGGCTGTGCTTGAGGTGCTGTGCTGCGGCCTGGGTGGTGTTCACCGGCTGCGTGCTTCTGCCTAGGCTGTCATTTCCCTGATGGAGATGGGCTTCGACGAGAAGGAGGTGCTCGACGCCCTCAGAGTGAACAACAACCAGCAGAATGCCGCCGTGAGTACCGTGGGCCAGCCTGCGTCCTGGCCCTCGGGGTGTCAGGCTCTGCTGCTGTCTTGCGGCCCGTGCTGTTCACTGAAGCATTGGGGCCGAAGATTCAGGTGGCAAACAGCTTTGAAAGTACTAGTCTGGCAGGGCGGTGCATGCCTGCAATCCCAGCACTCCGGGAGGCTGAGGCAGGAAGAACATAAATTTGAACCCAGCAGGGACAACATACTAGGCCTCAAAATAAAAAATAAGAAAGGGCTGGGGATGTAACGCAGTGCGAAGACCTCGAGTTCAATCTCCTACACCCCACCCCATTGAAATCTGAGAAAACTCTGGGCCTTGCCTGTCTAAAAACAGTGCCTTGCGTGTGCATGTCTTGCTGATGTATAATTTGTAGATGTGTGTTCTTACTCGTACCTGGACATCGAGCCCTGTGTTGTGCACAGGCCACCTGCTGCTAGGAGCCCTGCCGTGGGCCTGGTGGGCTGGCGGCCTCCACTGTGGACAGGGTTGAGGCCCAAGTGCCCACTTGTGTGTCCAGCCCTCCGGGTATGTGGGCTTGGGGCAGTGCAGTCATATGGGCCCCTTCTCTAGCACAGGCCTGGCTGCTGGGGCAGTGGTCAGGTTCTCCTGCAGAGCCAAGTCTGCTAAGACTGCCAGGCCAGATCTCCTTTCACTGTCCAGCCTGGCCGGATGTGTGTGGAGCTGGATGGACACAGGCTTGTTGTATTGGGGTCCTTTCCAGTCAGCAGTGGGGGGACCTGCCAGGAACTGCAGAATCGGACAGGGCCAGGTGCAGGGCTTGTGTCGGCAGTGTTGCCAGGAGCTAACGGCTCTCCCGTGTTCTTGGGTTTCAGTGCGAGTGGCTGCTGGGGGATCGGAAACCGTCCCCCGAGGAGCTGGACCAAGGCATCGACCCTGACAGCCCTCTCTTCCAGGCCATCCTGGACAACCCAGCGGTGCAGCTGGGTCTGACCAACCCTAAGACGCTGCTAGGTGTGTGCACCTTCGTGACGCTGGCCTGGGTGGGGGCACAGGTGGTACTGAGTGGCGCTGGGGCCAGGCCTGGGGCCCAGGCCAGCTCAGGTGGACAGGCTCCCACCAGGGTCAGGCAAGCTGTGCCTGTGGCTTGTGTGGCGAGCACATGTGTTGAGGAGAAGGTTGCTTGCGGCTTTGGCTTCTTTGTAAGGGGCCTGTCTGGTAATCGTGTATTTTTATTGTTCTCTGTGTACATACAAAAATGTATGAGGAGCCACGCATGTGCTACTCAGCTTAACAAACAGCATGGCCACCCCTCGGTGTCCCTGCCGATAGGCTCCAGGACTCCACGTCAGTCCCCTGCTGCTCAGGTCCCCGTGTGAGGTGGCACAGTATTTGCTGATGACTGACATGACCTTTCCTGCACCATGAACCATCTCTAGAGTATTTACCATGCCAGGCACAGGGTTAAATGGAAGCTGGGGTGGAAGTTGAGACGATTTCCGAGTCCTCGTAGCTGCCACCAGATGGCTTTCCGGAGCCTGTGCCATGAGCACAGATGGGGCAGCTGCCCCCTGGCCTGTGGGACAGTTGTTCTTTTTCAGATCTGCTGCTTGGTCCCCGGGGCAGGCATGGCCGAGTTAGCACTGGTGTGAGCTCAGTCCTCCCACGTGTGGGCACTGGGCAGCGAGGCACGCCCGGTCCTGGGGGGAGCTCCGTGGCCCCGCGCCCTGACTTGGAGGCCCTGAGGGGAGTCGGGGTGCTGGGCTCAGCTCTGCTGTCTCCACAGCCTTTGAAGACATGCTGGAGAACCCGCTGAACAGCACGCAGTGGATGAACGACCCAGAGACAGGCCCGGTCATGCTGCAGATCTCCCGCATCTTCCAGACGCTGAACCGCACATAGGTGGTGCTGTCCTGCTCTGCTGTCGGGCAGCAGCCTCCCTGGGCGAGGGCAAAGGCGACCTTGCCCAGAAGCCGCCTCCAGCTCCTTGGCATGGGTCACCAGCACCACAGCTGCTGTCCCTCCCTGACCTTACTGCTCATAAACTCGTAGGACAGTAAGGCCTCACTCCCAGCTTCCGACACGTGTTCCTGGAAGGGCTGTCTCCCAGGGCAGTGACCGGCGCCCTCTCCAGGTGCTCCGTGGGCCCTGAAGTGCTACTAGAAGTGCCTGAGAGGCCTCGGCGGAGCCTGCTTTTTCCTGGCAGGAGGTGCAACCAAGCCAGTGTTAGGTCCAGCGTGCTCCCGTGCCCAGAGCTTGGGTGGCTTCCGTAATAAACCCACCCTTTCCTACTTTCTGTTGCTGAGCTCCTTCAGTGCCTCCTGAATGCATCCTCCCGAGCCCAGTGTGCGCCGCCTCTGCCCGGACAGGCATCGTTGCTGCCTCGATGCCTTGGCAAATAGTGCTGGGTTTTGGGGCTGTGATGTCCTTGGAGGGGACCCTGCCTCCACTCCTCGGCCACAGCCACCCTGCCCTGCCCTGCCCTGCCCTGGTCTGACTTCCCTGCCCCCTTTTCTCCCTGCTCATTGCGTGCCGCACCCAGCCTCAGGGGTGTTTCAGTCCCTGAGAGGAGGCCACCCTGCCTGGCCTCAGCCTGTGCTCACCACTCACTGGGGCCTCTGCTGAGCTGTCCCCTCCCCGCACAGTGCCACTCACTGGTCTGACAGTCATCCCCACCCTGTGCCAGCCCTGCGGGGCAGGCTCTGACCAGCCTCAGGCCCTCCCCACCCGCTGCCAGCTTCTGGGTTGGAGGAGAAGGTTCCTGGGGAGGGAGGGCTGGGTCAGCCTGGGAGCACCTGAGAGGCCAGCCGGCCCCACGGGGGTTCCTGAGGCACCCGTCCAGGGCGTTTGTGGGAAGGGGCAGGGGCCGCACAGACGAGTGGCATGCTCGGCTTGAGACAGTGTCTTCTCAGAGCGGCCTCTGCGCCCCTGGCTGGTCTGAGTGTGGTTCTACCCTGACTGCTGCGGCCCCCGGGCAGGGCTGTGGGGCTGTCCCAGCCTGCTGAGTGTGGACCAGAGGTCCGCCCGCTGGCACAGTTTCTCCTCTGCCCAGGCCGCTGGGGCACTGTCCTGGTCGCCAGCACGTGGGCACATGGCTGCAGACAGCCTCTGCTGGGGCCCAGCCTGTGTCTGGCAGGTGGGCATGAGGTTGTCCCTTAGGAGGCGGTAAAATGACTGGCAAACCCGGGCTTCACCTGCAGCTTGGTCGGGGCTGAGGCTGGCGCTGAGTTCAGTGAGCAGCGGCTTCTGCTGTCACGGTGACCCCCAGAGGAAGAATGCCAGCCTGGCCAAGCTGGCCTTGAGCACAGTCACGTCCACACTGCCAGACCCAGGGCCGCTGGTAGTGAGGCACGGGTGTGGGTCTGCGGGCCATGCCTGCAAACAGGCTGGCTGGGCGTTGTCCCTTCAAAGCTGCCTGGTGTGGGCTTGGCCCTGCTCCGCCCTTCTCTCTTGGGGCTTGCAGGCTGGTCCTCAGAGCCCTGCCAGTGCTCTGTCTCAGCTGTGGGGGCAAGGGCCCCTGGCACAGTGCCCTCTTGGGGTGGCGCCTCTGCCGAGCCCCAAGTTGCAGGACTGGCCAGCCTCCGTGGCACTAGAAATGCTACATGAACAGCTGGGGGGGGGGCCTCAGGGCACCAAGGCCTGCAGGCCCCTGGGGGCAGCAACTGGCTGTGTGGTCCCAGGCTGTCGGATGATCAGTACAATCAGTCAGGTCAGGTGGTCCTCGGCCTGGCTCTGGGGTTTGCTCTCAGAATTTCCAGACTGGGCCTGGGGATTTAGCTCAGTGGTGCCACCATCCGCCTCGAAAGCGCAAGGTCCTGAGTTGATCCCCGGTACCAAAAAACACAATTTCCAGACTGGCCCTGTAAGTGCTGTTATAGCCAGTGGGTTTCCTTATAAAATGCCAATTCCTCTGTGGTGACGTTTCCAGTAACACCCTTTTAAGGGTATCAGGCACAGCCAGGCACAGTGGTGCATGCCTGTAATCCTAGCACTTAGGGTGGCTGAGGCAGGGCCATCACAATTTTGAGTCTTGCCTTGGCAAATCAGCAAGGCTTTGTCTTAAAGCAAGAATATCAAAAGGGGTGGGGATCTGCCCAGTGGTAGAGCCCTTGGGTTCAGTCCCCAGTGCTGGAAAAGCGCCAGGCCTGTACATTTTAATTTGGACTTAGCAGAAGTGCAGTAGGAGAAGCATGTCATGGACCAGAAGAAGGGCTGGGGAGTGGGAGACCACGGCCCCACCTGGGACACTGGCTTTGGGTGTCAGGAGCCAGCCATGTAGCACCCCCGGGAGGAATGGGCTGCTGGCTGCCACCACGACCCGCATGCCAGACCTGCATCCCCAGGCCCTGAGGGGAGAGGAGGGCGTCCTGGAGAATCCTGAGCCCAGGGCCCTGGGACAGCTGGGCTGGGCGTGCAGATGTGCCTGCCCTGCAGGGGCACAACCTTGGCCAGAAGGCCAATGCCAGGTTATCTCTGATGGACGCTCAGCCCCATCTTCTCCCAGGTGTTTGTTGGTTACCTGCAGACCAGAGGGCTCAGACTGGGTGGGGCCAGGACGGACAAGCAGAAGTCCCCTAGAGCACAGGGCACGATGTGGAAGGACAGCTGGACAGTGAAGCCTTTACCAAGGTCCCTGTGACTGTCAGGCGGGCGTGGGCCTGGGGCCGTGGGGCACGGAGAGGGTGAAGGTCAGGTTCAGGGCTCTGCCGGGCTGGGGGCAGACTGAGCCTGCAGAGGGGTCTTTCCAGGGGCGGCCCTGTGTCACGCAGTGAGGAGGAGGGCGGGAAGGTGAGTGGGAAGCCCTGAGGCCCCGGGCCGAGCCTCTAGCCTCTCCTGCCTCACCCGTGTGGGCTCTGCCCTCGGGAGGGACACCGTCCTGGGCCTGGGCTCCCTGCTTGGCGTTCAGACTCCGCGGTGCCTATTCACACCTCACTGAGGTCTGGGACTGTGGCAGAGCCACACAGCTGCAGGAGGGGCACAGAGGGTAGGAGGGCAGCAAGGGCAGGTGAGCGGTGAGACCCCTGCAGACAGGTGAGGGGCAGAGCCAGAGTGGAGCACAAGGCCCAGGCACACACTGAGGAGGCCGGGACTCTGTGCCGAGATGTGGCCAGGCCCACGGAAGGGACCTGGAGGACAGGGCGCGGGGCCCCTGCCCATGGCCAGCAGCTTGGCGGCTGCCTGCTGCACTCTTCCGGGAGCAGCTCTCAGCTCTCCGCCCTGCGAATGGCCGGCCCAGCAGCCTGTGTTCATTCTGGACAGCAGAGCGAGGGTTGGTGTCGCACAGACACCTGCACGGTTCCCAGCAGCCAGAGAGGCACAGCCAGAGCCTGCAGCTGGACCATGTGTACCTGAAGACCACAGGCCCGGGGGCAGGAAGGAGTCTGACCGGCGTGCAGACACTGGGGACTCCGTCACAGGCCAAGTCCTGCAGGAGCCCACCCCACGAGGTCCCCAGTCAGAATCGTGGGCAGGGTGTGTGGAGTGGGGACTCAGCGTTTGGGTACGGTGGTGGTTTGTTCAGACGAAGGTTCTGGAGGTGGATGTGACCACACAAATCGGTGAACGCATTTAATGCAGTTAAGATTGGAAGCTGGGTGTGGAGGCGCACACCTGTGATCCCAGCACTGGCAGGCCGAGGCAGAGGCATCACAAGTTCCAGCCCAGCCTGGGGATTAGCAACTTAGTGAAACCGTGTCAAAATAAAAAATTAAAAAGGGGCGGGGAGTGTAGCTCAATGCATAGGTCCTGAGTTCACTCTTCAGTTCCACCAAAAAAGAGAAAAAGATCAAGGCCCCTCTCCAGGGGTGAGGGCTCCTGAGCCTGGAGGGTCCGAGGAGCTGCCTTCCGTGGCAGCTGTGGACTTGGCGGCACCCGCTTGAGGCCCGGCCTGGGGACGAGAGCTGGGGCTCTGCTCAGACCTGGGTCGCCCTGCCCCCTCCACACAGGCCCCTCTGGCTTCAGAAGCAACAGCACATGGGTGAGTTCTGGGCCAGCGGGCCCTCCCCACGCACCTGTCTCCTCAGGAACCAGGCACTGTGGGAGTCCACTGTCCTGAGGAGGTGTGGGTGCGTCTGCGCCAAGCCTCAGGGCACCGAGGCCAGGCCTGCATTAGTCTGCAAATTTATCCTTCTCGGAGCATTTTGTCTCCAAAATTCATGAGATCCCAGTGGAGACGTTGCCCAGGTTACCACATCCCAAGGAGAGGCAGGTGTGACGTGTGGCCTGGTCACCTGTCCCCAGAAGTGGTGCACCAGACCACGGGGACTTTATCCACCTGCCACCATCCACATCCACACCAAGGTGTCCCCGCCTGCCACGAGGCTGGAGCCCAGGCTGATGCCATGGTCTGGGCTGTGTGGTCCACTGTTTGCTGACAAGGAAGCAGGCTCCTTCGGTCTGTTTGGCCATGGTGCTCTGTGGGAGGGGATGTTCTGGCTGCAGGAGGCCGGGCAAGCTGGAGGCTGCGGGTGCAGAGCTGGGCACAGGCTGCAGCCACCTGAGAGGAGCTCTGCACTACACTCTCAATGCAGCGGGCCCTCTGTGTGCAGATGCCTGACCCAGCACTGACAAGGAGCACCGGCTAGCAGCTTCGGCAGCGAGGAGCAGGGGAAGGCCAGGGGCCCCTGGGAAAGGCACTGGTCCCAGGGGGCTGGTCCTGGAGGAGGGCAGCAGCTGGCAGTGGAGCCAGCCTTCTGGATGGCAGAGAAGTCTCAGCTGATGGCATGGTTTGTGACTGTTTAGTACTCAGCTGTGCCTGACCAGACCTCATTCGGTGCATTTAATTCCTGTCACAAGGGAGAACTCAAGTTTAAATTAATTAATTCACTTAAGCTTAAATTAAGTCTGCATTTGCTCCTCAGGGGAGAGACTTCGAGCCCTGCTGTGTGTGTCCAGGACCCCAGGGTGCTGTGAGGCCAGATCTGGGGGTGGCTGGGCCCCGTGCATCCATATGTCTGCGGCAAAGTCCCCTCTAGTGCCACCGTGGCAAGGGCTCCAGATCGCACTGGCTGCTTCATGGGTGCTGCCAGGCCTGGGGTGATTTGTCTTCATGTTTTAAGCCTGTGTGGAAATGGTTCCTTTAGTATTTAAGGATTTAAAGTATTTTAAAATTTTGAAGTAAAACTTAGGTACGGGAAATGACCCAAGTCTTGGGCAAACAGCTTGGCCTGTTCTGTGTGCACACCTGTGCTTGGCACCGCTCTGCCTGAGAAATGGCCTTCTCCGGGTTCACCCGAGTTATTCCCTCAGGCCAGGCTAGAGAGTGGTGAAGAGTGAAACCCGCATCCCATTGTGATG